GCATGCAAGGCAAGCGCTCTACCACGGAGCCACCTTCCCAGCCCACCAAGTCTATTTTTAAAGAGCTTCAAATATAGAAATCACACAAGCCTGTAATTTGTTCCAAAAAGCAAGAACTTTTTTCCTTTTTCCAGTCTTGAGTCTTGAACTCTGGGCCTGGGAGCTGTCCCTGAGCTCTTTTTGCTCAAGGCTAGCGCTCTACCACTTGAGCACCACTTCCAGCTTTTCCTGCGATTGATTAGAAAATGTCTCAAAGACTTTTCTGCCCAAGCTGGTTTTGAACCATGGTCCTCAGATCTTAGCCTCTAAGAAAGGCCTCAGTGGCTCATGCCTATAATTCTGGCTCCTCAAGAGATGGAGAGCCGAGGCTTAGGATCATGGTTCAAAACCAGTCTGGGTAGAAATGCCCATGAGACTATCGTGTCCAATCAACCAGACAGAAAGCCAGAAGTGGAGCTGTGCTCAAGCGGTAGAGTGGCAGCCAAGCAAAGAGCTAAAGGATAGTGCCCAGGCCCTCATCTCAAGCCTCAGGGCAGGAGATAGAGGCACCTTGTGCTGTTACCCTGGGAGATTCCTTGTGATATTTAAAAAGGCATATACCTTATTTTTTAATTCAGAAAAAAATAATAAATCCATGTATGAATAGCAGCACTAGATATAACAATAAAATACTTAGCAGTGGCTTATACTGTAATCCTAGCCATTTGAGAGACCTAGAGGATGACAGTTCAAAGCCAGCCCAAAGAGGAAAGTCTTCTAGACTCCATCTCCAACTAACAAAATGTTGGACTGGAGGCATGGTACAAGTGGTAACGTGCTAGCTGCTAACAAGAAGGTCAAATGAGAGTCCTGAATTCAAGTCCCAGTGCTAGCCAAGAACAACAACTATACTCAACAAATGGCGTATTACGTGAAGGTCTGTGTAGCGTGAATTAAGGAAGAACTATGAAGACACATCTGTGGGGAAGAAATCTAAAGCCATTCACATGCAGAGAGCCAAAGGGCTGGGGACCTGTGAACCACGGCGGCACCGGCGTTAGCTGGGTTTGCAGTCATCATCAAGAGTCACAGACCCGGGCAGGTAGGGGGGTGCCCTGGACTCACAGGCATCCTTTTCTGGCTGTCTTTGTTTTCCAAATTAAATAAGAAGCAAGGTCACCGACTCGAGTGTGCAAATGATGGAGGAGGTGGGGGGGAGTGAAAAGTCCATCCATCGAGGTAGATTTGGAAATGAAACCGTTTATTGGCAGGAAATTCTTTTGGCCTGGCCTCTTGCA